AATTTTTGTATTTTTAGTAGAGACAGAGTTTTGCCATGTTGGCCAGGCTGGTCTCGAACTTCTGACCTCAAGTGATCAGCTTCCCTTGGCCTCCGAAAGTGCTGGGATTACAGGCCTGAGCCACTCCGTCTGGCCCCATTTTTAATTGGATTATTTTCTTTTATTGTTTAGTTTTAAGTGTTTGTATTAGTCCATTCTTATGCCATTAATGAAGACATACCTGAGCCTGGGTAATTTATAAAGGAAAGAGCTTTGATTGACTCACAGTTCAGCATGGCTGGGGAGGCCTCAGAAAACTTACAGTTATGGCAGAAGGGGAAACAAACACGTCCTTTTTCACATGGCGGCAGTGAGAGTGCAGAGTGAAGTGGGGAAAAGCCCCTCATAAAACCATCAGACTTTGTGAGAACTCACTATCACAAGAACAGCATGAGGGTAACCGTCCCCATGATTAAATTACCTCCCTCCAGGTCCCTCCCATGACATGTGAGGATCGTGGGAACTCCAATTCAAGATGAGATTTGGGTAGGGACACAACCAAACCACCTCGGTGTTCCTTATATTTTAAAGATTTATATATACACACATAAATGTTTGATCAGATATATCTTTTACAAATATTTCTCCCCATCTATGACTTTTCATTCTCTTGACAGTGTCTTTTGAAGAGCAGGAATTTTTTTTTTTTTAATTGAGATGGAGTCTCACTCTGTCACCCAGGCTGGAGTGCAATGGTGCGATCTCAGCTCACCGTAACCTCCACCTCCTGGGTTCAAGTGATTCTTCTGCCTCAGCCGCCCAAGTAGCTGGGACTGTAGGCATGTACCACCACACCCATCTATCTTCTGTATTTTTAGTAGAGATGGGTTTCACCATGTTGGCCAGGCTGGTTTCGAACTCGTGACGTCAAGTGATCCACCCACCTTAGCCTCCCAAAGTGCTGGAATTACAGGCTTGAGCCACCGTGCCCAGCCAAAAAGCAAGAATTTTTAATCTTCATTAATTCCAGTTTATCAGTTCTTTCTGTCATGGATTGTGCCTTTGGTTTTGTATCTAAGAAGTCATCACCAAAAGCAAAAGCCATCTTGGCTTTTTCCTATGTTATCTTCAGGAAGTTTTATAGTTTTGTGTTTGACATTCAGGCGGGTGATCCATTCTGAGTAAGCTTCTCTGCAGGGTGTGAGGGCTGCATCTACGTTCATTTTTTTTTTTTTTTTTTTGCACATGGATGTCCAGCTGATCCACCTGTTAATTATTTCACTATACCGCGCTGCCTTGATTGCTGTAGCTTCCCGTGCACTCGTCAATCCCTTAAGGTTCACCTCCTCTTCCCCTACCAAACTGCAACCACTCCACTAGTGGCCTTCCAATGGCAAGTCCCATGGATTCTCTCCAGTGTGCCTCTTGTTTGTGACTCCATTCTGTTGTGTGAGCTCATGTTGTGTCACCTTTGCATTGGGGTTTGTAGAGTTGGTCTTCATGTGCTGGCTTTGGGAGGGTGGCCAGACAAGAATGCGGGTTGGGGTCAAGTTCTTGTTACTTACAAGTGCACAGAGCTTCCTTGGGGACATGACACGTGTTTCAGACCCACAGTACCACAGTATTCTGAAGGGGTGTTCTGTGATTCTCACTTCCTAGGCCTTTGGACATCTGTGGCAGAGCAAGTGGTCGATTGGAAAGCTCCACTAAGATGGACCAAGCCAGCATGGATTGAAGGGCTCAGTGGCACTGGGCCTGGGGGAAAGCAGAAAGGGGCGGGCAGCTTCCAGAACCTTCCTGGGGCCTGCCAGTCCTGGCCCTGCTGTAAGTGCTTTGCAGCCCTGGACTGGCTCTGACCTCCTCACAGCCCTGTGGGATAGCCCTAGCCCTGTTTTAGAGAGAGGACACCCATGCACAGAGAATGTTGTCACTTGTTCAGAGTCACAGTTTAGGAAGTGGCAGTGCCAGGATTTGACCTGAGAGTCCATGCTGTTGGCCATGCTGCCTCCCTAACCCCTGCCCTCAGAGGGTCTGAAGAGGTTAGAGAGAAAGACAAGAAGGAAGTGTCGGGGAGTAAGTTGGGAAGCCCTCACCTTCCCCTCTTGTTCTTTAGGCCTTCTTACCTCTTCCCTACTGGTGGAGAAGGGCCCTGGGGCCCTGCCTGGGACTGGTTCCCACCATGGGCCCTGCATGGTGGTGGCTTCTGGAGGCCTCTGTGCCCAGGAAGGCACCTTCCCTGGGGGGCCTGTGGGCCAGAGAGGGGAGGATGTCTCGAGGGATGGCCTGAGGAGCTCCCCTTCTGGAATCCAAGACAGCAGGAGGCAGCAAATGATCTGGTTTTCATTTGAGAAGGGCTGAGTTGGTGTTCCCATACCAGGACTGTCCTGGGCTGATGCCTCAGGGAACCCTCTCCAGCACACTATCTGCGCTTGCAACCCCAGAGCACCCTTGGTGCGCCATGTGGAAGTTTCTACTGTGAGTACCCAGGATGGTACCGCGCTTTCTCCTTGACAAGCCTGGGTTCTAGCAGCTGCAAGCTTAGCTTCTGTCCTGCACAGGCCTTGGCTCCTAGGCCGTTCAGAAAGTTTCAAGGGAGGAAGTGATGCTACAATATTTTTTAGTCCTAACTTCCCCATGTTTCCATTTCCTCACTCCCTTGATGCAAAGGACACTCCCTTGATGCAATTCAATTGAATTGACATTTACAGAGTCCCCTTTATGGATATGCTGGACCACATGTGAGTTTCAGGGACAGGCAGATGATTAAAACATAGTTCCTGACTCCCAGGAACCCATGGTCTAGCCCAAAGTATATGCAAGCTATAAATAAGAATAGTAAGTGGGCCAGGTACTGTGGCTCACACCTATAATACCAGCACCTTAAGAGGCTGAGGCAGGTGGATCACGAGTTTGAGACCAGCCTGGCCAACATGGTGAAACCCCTGTCAGTACTAAAAATACAAAAATTAGCCCGGCATGGTGGCAGGCACCTGTAATCCCAGTTATGGGCTGAGGTAGGAGAATTGCTTGAACCCGGGAAGTGGAGGTTGCAGTGCGTCGAGATCATACCGCTGTACTCCAGCCTGGGTGACAGAGCAAGACTCCATCTCAGGGAAAACAAAAAAAGAATAGTAAGTGATACAAAGTAAGCTTACAGAGCTTAGGAACTCTGTAAGTGTCAATTCAAATTGAATTGCATCAAGGGAGTTCCTGGCTTAGGGACTGTAACAAGGGAGGCTGCTACCTGGGCACCTTGGAAAGACACATCTAGGCAGCCATGCCAGGCAGAAGACTGGGCCGCTGCAGGTTTAAACCCTGGGCTTCCAGGCCCTAAAAGGGGAACTGGGCCCCGAGGGTGCTGTCCCATCACAAGAAATAACCCTGGATGCCAGTCACCCAGGGCCCTAATGCCTTTCTCAGGCAGGGGCAGGGAGGGGATGAGAAAATGGGAGTGAGGTTGGGCAGTAAGACTGAATCTGGAGAGCCTGGGCGTGCAGCCCGCCCACTGGTCTGCCTTGTCCCTTCCGTGCAAGAGCCGGTGGAAGCTGAGGGTGGTGGAAGGGATCCCAAATGAGCTATCTACCCGGGGCGCCCTCCATCCTCTGGTGCCCCATGCCTTCTCCAAGGACACACCAATCCCCAAACCCAAATCACCCCAGAGCCAAAACTGCTGCTCTTCCCTCCTCAAAGGGCACCCACCCACCCCACTCCCCAACAAAACTCCAAAAGAACTATTTTCTCCACCCCATGTAAACCTCTTTTGGATTAAAGTAATTCCTACTGAAGGAACTCATTCTTTTCTGAACGATCTGTAGGCTAATCTTCCCAGGGTGCATTTGCATTTCAAGTGGAGTGCTTGTACAGTTAGAATCCATCTTTAATTGGCAGAATGAAGGGGTACTTACGGGGGGGAGGGGGGGTAGGCGGACTTTCCCAGGCCCTCCTGGCCCCTCCCCATGCCCTCCTCTCTTCTCCTCAGCGCCCGCCCCTCAGTGAGGGGTGGAGCTGGGTGGATTTGGAGGCTGACTAAAGAAACGAACTGTCTATTCTTTCTTTACCAATTAAAACTTTTTATGGTGGACCTAGAGTTGCCAACTTCTAATTTTGTCAGTTTGTTTTATCACGGGTTTCCTAACACCATCACTTCACAGCACCAAAAGATGAAGGAGGAGGTCACTTCAGTCTTCTCAATGGAGTAAATTTAGCTTTACACAAACATGCCACAGGGTTGTTAGATTTTTCGTTTTGCTACAGATTGGTGCAAACCTCACTGGGCGTCGGCATTTGAGAACCACAAACCTGATGGCCCTCGGAGCCCTGCCCAACTCTAAAAGGCCGCAGTTTTCAAATTCCATTGGCACACTGCATTAAAGATGCATCTCTGAATGTGAATCATTGATGATGATGTTAATTTATCATTGTTGCACATAACTTTCTATGATGGAAATGGCTCCCGGAGACAGGACGGTAGAGAGACTGAAGAGCAGGGAATAAAGTTAGGAGCAAATGAGGGGACAGAGAGGGAAGAACACCTGCCCCCCAGACCTGTATCCATCTTCCCAGGATGCTCGGTTAGATTCTTGGGCTGCAGAAGGCAGTTTCGTACGCCTGTTCCAGAAATGTGTGTGTGTGCGTGTGCGTGTGTGTGTGTGTGTATGTAACCATGCAGTATGTGGGCACAACACCTGACCTTTGTGTAAGCGCCCCCCCCCCCACAAAGCCTCACCCCTTAAAATGTTCCCTGTGGCCTGGCCTTCCCTATGGCACGGTTCCATCCCCCAAGCAAAAGACATGAAGATGTCAGAATGGCAAATGGCAGATGTCTTAGAATGTGGGGGCGGGGGGCGGGGGGCAATGAGAGATGTCAGCTCCGGGAGGACAAGGCCCTGGGCCCTCCAAGGGAGGGGCCGTCTGTTTCCAGCCTGGGTTTGTTTCCTCACCGGCCACCCTGGCCCTGGCTCCCGGTTCTCCTGGGCCTTCCGAGGAGGCTTTGCTCACAGCTTTTCCCATTCTCATTCCAGGTGTGTGTGGCTGCTGCGGTGCCCTGCGCCCCAGGTACAAAAGGCTGGTTGACAACATCTTCCCTGAGGATCCTGAGGTGAGTCACATCTCTGGCAGGCATCATGGCTCTCAGCGTCTAGGTAGGGCCTCTGACGGGTGGAGTGGCAGCTTAGAAGCCAGGTGGGGAAGGCAGGGCCTCTCAGGGCCCTTGGACACAGCCTTCCCAGGGAAACTGGAACCTGGGCCACAGCCATGGGTAGTGGGGAGAGGCCGCTAGGGACATGAAGGAAGAGGGCATCTGGATCTGCAGAAGGCAGCTGGCAGTTAGCCTTGGCATGCTTGTGGCCGTCACTGTCCAACCGAGACATCTCCTGCGTGTCTCTTTGTGTGATTGCCCCGTGAGCTGCTAACTCTTTGAGTGGTCGTAGCTCTGTGCTGGTCAGTATGAAGACGCCCCTGTCTTGGGTTGGGCTCAGGAGCCCAGGTCTTTTGCCCTGGCTGCCACCCTCTGGTGTCTGCCAGGTGTCTAGGGGCACATACATAGAGGACCTGGCCTCCAAGCTGCCTCTCCACCCATCAGGCTGCTTTGTGGGTTGTGGTCTGGGAAACATTGGGATCTGAGGTACTTGACTTGCTCTCTGGGAACCAAGGGCCTGTTTGGGTGACAGCACCCTCTGGAGACTTCCCTAAGAGCTGCAGAGGTGCCTTCATCCTGTGCGTATCTTGGTGCCAACTATCCAACATGCTTTAATTTTGGGTGGCTTTTATTTTGGGTGGGTGGCTTTTAAATGATGCTATGTCGTTCATTCCTACACACTCACACACACATGGTATGTATATACATACCCATACACATACGTGTATACATTCATGTATATATATCCACATACATGCACACACATATATACATTTGTATCACTTACTATTCTTTTTTTGCTTTCCCTGAGATGGAGTCTTGCTCTGTCACCCAGGCTGTAGTGCAGTGGCGTGATCTCGATGCACTACAACCTCCACTTCCCGGGTTCAAGCAATTCTCCTACCTCAGCCCATAACTGGGATTACAGGCACCTGCCACCATGCCTGGCTAATTTTTGTATTTTTAGTACTGATGGGGGTGGTTCATCATGTTAGCCAGGCTGGTCTCAAACTCGTGATCCACCCACCTCAGCCTCGTAAGGTGCTGGTATTATAGGTGTGAGCCACAGTACCTGGCCCACTTACTATTCTTATTTATAGCTTGTATATACTTTGGGCTAGACCATGGGTTCCTGGGAGTCAGGAACTGTGTTTTAATCATCTGCCTGTCCCTGAAACTCACATGTGGTCCAGCATATCCATAAAGGGGACTCTGTAAATGTCAATTCAATTGAATTATTATTTTTCTCTAGACTTGAACTCATCTATCCATAGTGTGGCCACAGTGAGCACTAATTGTTTTCTTCCACAGGATGGTCTGGTGAAGACCAACATGGAGAAGCTGACATTCTATGCCCTCTCAGCTCCAGAAAAACTTGATCGTATTGGTGCCTATCTCTCTGAGAGGCTCATCCGTGACGTGGGTCGTCATCGATATGGGTAAGTGGTTTGTAAAGGAGGGAGAGAGACGTCAGGAACTATATTGTTAGGTTAAACATAGTCCTTTTAGAAAATGTTGGCCAGGCAGAGTGGCTCACGCCTATAATTCCAGCACTTTGGGAGGTCAAGGTGGGAGGATCACTTGAGGCCAAAAATTCAACACTATCCCTTTTTTTTTTTTTTTTTGAGACAGAGTTTCGCTCTTGTTACCCAGGCTGGAGTGCAATGGCGCGATCTTGGCTCACCGCAACCTTCGCCTCCTGGGTTCAGGCAATTCTCCTGCCTCAGCCTCCTGAGTCACTGGGACTACAGGCATGCGCCACCATGCCCAGCTGATTTTTTATATTTTTAGTAAAGATGGGGTTTCACCATGTTGACCAGGATGGTCTCGATCTCTTGACCTCATGATCCACCCGCCTCGGCCTCCCAAAGTGCTGGGATTACAGGTGTGAGCCACCGCGCCCGGCAAGTTCAACACTATCCTAAGCAACACAGTGAGACTCCATCTCTACAAAAAAATTTAAAAATTCGTTGGGTGTGGTGGTACACACCTAAAGTGCCAGAGCAAGACTTGTCTCAAAAAAAAGAAAAAAAAAGAAAATGATGGTAGACTAGATTATCAAACAGACCAAGAAAATTGGGGCCTGGGACTAAGGAGTATATCCCATGCGATCTTCCAAAGGCAGGGTTGAGCGTGATGCTGCTGCCAAGGTTTGGGAAGAAGGGCGGTTGGCTTCCTACAGGCACCTCTTCCAGCATCCATTCTCTCATGTTTCCATACAAAAGCCCTCATACAGTCTGAGGCTTTAAGAAAAATTAAGGCTATGATTGCACCGCCATCCACATCCAACCTGTCCTGCCTTATCCCACTTACTGCCTTGAAAACTAAGGAGGAGTCATCTACATTCTAGTAAGAAGGCAGAGTTAAGGGCAATTTGTCCATTAAAAATACACTTAGGTGAAATATTTATCAATCTTCTGAAAGAGAAGGACTTTCCATGTTTAAAGAGAGAAGAAATCTTAAAGCAAATGACTGATCCACAGACTTAACTGTTGAAAAATTTAAATATTTTGATGTCAATAAAGAAACACTCAGACCAGGCATGGTGGCTTACGCCTATAATCCCAGCACTTTGGGAGGCCAAGTGGGGAAGATCGCTTGAGTCCAGGAGTTCAAAACCAGCCTGGGCAACATACTGCCCATCTTTACAAAAAATAAAAAGAAAATTAGCTGGGTGTGGTGGTACGCACCTATAGTCCCAGCTACTCAGAAGGATGAGGTGGGAGGATGGCTTGAGCGCAGGAGGTCAAGGCTGCAGTGAGCTATGTTTGTGCCACTGCTCTCTAGCCTGGGCGACAGAGACTCTCTCAAAAACAAAAAGAAAAAAGAAATGCTCAAAATATAAGAGACAAACAACAAAAAAGTATATTAAAAAATTAAGACAAAGGGCCAGACACAGTGGCTCATACCTGTAATCAATCCCAGCACTTTGGGAGGTCGAGGCGGGTAGATCACCTGAGGTCAGGAGTTTGAGATCAGCCTGGACAACATGGTGAAACCCTGTCTCTACCAAAACTACAAAAATTAGCCAGGTATGGTGGCATGCACCTAGTCCCAGCTGCTTGGGAGGCTAAGGCAGGAGACAGTTGATTGAACCCATGAAGCAGAGGTTGCAGTGAGCTGAGATTTGTGCCACTGCACTCCAGCCTGGGTGACAGAGTGAGACTCTGTCTCAAATAAATAAATAAAAATAAATTAAGACAAAGGATTCAAATTTATATATTAGTAGCTCATACCAAACAGTGGGTGGAATGGGGAAACTGAGACACTAAGAGATTTGAGGCAAGGACCACAAACAGGAGACTTCAGGAGAGGAGAGAGAGCTTGCCACATACATGGGCACTCAACAGACTTGTGATCACAGATGCATACTGAAATACTAAGATGCTAACTTATCAAATTCATCACAAAGAAAACAGAATTTCCAGTATGACCAATAGATGGCAAAATGGGAAGCATTTTCATTCTTTTCTAGGAAGAGTGCGAATTGGTTGAAACTCTCTAGAAAGTAATTTTGAAATAATGTGTCAAGAGCTTTAAAAACACTTATGTCATTTGACTCAGTAATTTCCATTTCTGTTTGTCTATCCCAAAGAATCTTTTTTTTTTTTTTTTGAGACAGGGTCTTGCTCTGTCACCCAGACTAGAGTGCAATGTCATGATCTTGGCTCACTGAAACCTCAGCCTCCTGGGCTCAAGCCATCCTCCCACCTCAGCCTCCCAAGTAGCTGGGACTACAGGCATATGCTACAATTTCTGGCTCATTTTTGTATTTTTTGTAGGGATTGGGTTTTGCCATGTTGCCCAGGCTCGTCTAGAACTCCTGGGCTCAAGCAGTCCTCCCACCTGGGTCTCCCAAAGTGTTGGGATTATAGGTGTGAGCCACTGCGCCAGGGCCCAAGGAATCAATCATAAATACAGTCTACCTTCACATACAGAGATGTTCATTATCATATTATTTATAATAATAAAAAAGTGGGAATAACTTAAATGTCCAGCCAGAGGAGAATAGTTCAGTGAATTATGTTGTATGTCATTTGATAAAATGTTATCTAGTCAGTAAAAATGGTGTTTATAAAGATGCTTTCCATATAATTTAGAAAATGCTTGAAGTAAATGAAACCAAAATCCATAATTATATAGACAGTATTTGCAATCAAGTTAAAATATAAACAACAACAACAAATCTCAATGGGTAGAAAATATAGTAAAAACAAACATACTGGCCAGGTGCAATGGCTCATTACTGTAGTCCCAGCACTTTGGGAGGCCAAGGCAGGTGGATCACTTGAGGTCAGGGTTCAAGACCAGCCTGGTCAACATGGTGAAACCTTGTCTCTATCAAAAAGACAAAAATTAGCTGGGTGTGGTGGCATGTACCTGTAGTCCTAGCTACTTGGGAGGCTAAGGTGGGATAATTGCTTGAACCCCAGGAGGCCGAGGTTACAGTGAGCTGAGATCGTGCTACTACACTCCAGCCTGGGTGACAGAGCAAGACCCTGCCTCAAAAACAATAGCAACAACAAACTAAATGAACATATCAATATGTTAGGAGTGCTCATTTTATGAGCAGTGTGGCTCGGGTTTTTTGGTTTTGTTTTGAATCTATTTTTTCTACGTTTTTCCTAAATATTCTTTATGTGGATGTGTTACTTCCACAATAAAAATCATGAACTATAGAGCATATTGCGTTTGCTGCCCAACCATCACGCCACGATTCAGAGACCGAATGTCAGGAGAATGCTCAGATATTCCTAGTGGTGTTGCTCATGGGGCTGAGGGTTGGGTGGATTCATTCAGGCCACTGTTCTCAGGCCTGTTGGTTCCATTCTCCACGGAGTCTTTCATAGCCGTCCTCTACTCTTCCCTTTCTCCTGGTCCAGGCTCTTCTCTTTTTGTTCAGATGATGGCAGTAGCCTTGGACATGGACTCCCTGCTCCCCATCTTTCCTGCTCTGGTCCTTCTGTGTTAATACTGCTATGTATGATCTTCAACACACAGACACCAAGCTGTACTTTTCTAGCTCCTTGAGAAAAAAATCCAGCATCCTCAGCTTGACTTCTGGGGTTTTACACAACCTGCCTGTAACCCAGCCAAGCCCACCGCCCCTACCACACCTGCCGTAGACCCACTCCACATGGACTGGCCGACCCCCCTGATGGCTCTGTGGGCCTTTCTGGTGCTCTCTCACTTTGACCTCTGTTGGGCCTCCCCCTACAATTGCCCACCAGCCCCACCACCATCCAAGGCCCCTTCCTCCTGGCAGGAGAAGACAGAGCCAGTCTTGAACTACAATGAAACGTGCACGATGCTGACAGGGTGTAGAGGTCTAGAAAGCACAGGCCTCACCAGCAAACCTTAAATCAAGCCACCCCTGGTGTAAAAAGCAGGACCCAAACCAATATGTTTCTATGATCATTTCATGTAATAAAATGAGGCTACATCCTAAATAAGAGTGAATCTACCATGCATGCTGATTATATTAGGGGCATTGATATATTGTAAATTATACTCAAGCAAGTCAAAATGACTTTATCGTAGGTTGAACCTGAAACCAACATGCTAGCTCTAACATTAAACATTTAATACTAATTTTGCTGGCCCTCTCTGCGGTGATGGCTCTCTCAGTAAAAAATGTCCTAGAGCCAGCAGAGCCACGTAGAATCATTCTGCTGCATCTTACAACTGCAATTCAAATTTAGTATCATTCTGTTAAAAATAGCCATTGCAGCCTCTAAGTATTTAAAACCTGACAGCCTCACTGAGGGCTTTGTTCATAAACATTTGGAGAAGAAAAATCTGTGAGATCTGATCTCTTATTCTGTCTCTCTTTGCCCTCCCTGTCTTTCCATACCCAATGCCACATATGTCATCATTACCTTTTTAGTCACTGAAGGCAGCTTTGGAAGAGTAAAATATTCTCCTGTAGATGGGGTGAGAGGCTGTGTCTCCCTGCCATGATGCAGGTGTCTGTATTTGGGGTTTGACCATACGGGCATGAACCTTGGATGCCGGACCCAGGAGCAGAACCACCCTCATCTGCCCCATTGCCTCCCCACATTGTCACCCCATTCCAGTTGTGTGTGGACTCTGGCTCATAGGTGTTTAGCATGGAGACAGTGCGGGCAGCCAAATGTGGGCAGAGAGAGGATGAGATGTGAATTTCAAGGCATTGTTCATGGGCATGGAATATGATGGGCAGTGATGTGCAGAGCAGTAATAACCGAGCAGTCCTTCTATTTTCCCTTCTCTTTACATTTCCCTTCCAGTTCAGCTCCAGTGCCAGCATGTCCCCTAGAAAGTAGAGGAGAGCAGGGGAGGGAACAGCGGTGCTGGGAAAGACTCTCTCAGTTGACAGTGACCCCTGAACACTGACAGGTGCAGAATGCCATATAAGACGACATCAGGATCCCCAGTGCCTGGAGCTCTCACCCAGCCT